AAAATCACAAAAAAAAAAAAAAAAAAAAAGAGGTTCTATGGCTGTGCTGTTTCAGCTGCCTTAAAGGGACCCATGACTTAGGCTCCACTAGTCTGTAGGCAGTCTCTCCACCTCAGCCTAACTTCCCAATCCCTCATATAGGAACCCCACAGTGATGGGGTTGAAGGTAGGAGGTTTGGATTCCAGCTCAATCTGCTCTGCTGTGTGATGGCGGGCAAGGCCGCAAGTGCCTGAGCTGTCTCCCTTACAGACAAGGGCATGTTCTAGGACTAGTAGGAGGAGGCACATACGCTGCCCAGGAGCACTTGCCATAGCACAGGGCTCTTTGCTGAGTAAGTGGGAGCTTCCTGTTGGCGTTCCCACTCCTGCCTAGCCTAGAGAAGGGGAGCCAGTGTGCCCCTGTGGCTTCAGGAGCTGAGATAGGCCAGAGCTGGTGAGTGTCCTAGGAAGTCGGTTTTGGCTCCACCTGGGAAAAGAACCCTTCTCCTCCAGTGGCCTCAGGTGGGGCTGGGCCCCACCCTGACACTGTCCCCTGCCCCTTCTCTCCCAGAGCATCATCTACTATGTGAGCCGCTCACCAAAGCTGGAGGCGTGGCTGAGCCATGAGGGCATTGCCGCAGCCCTGCGGCCTGTGCGGGCCCCTGGCTACGCTGACTCGGACCCCACCTTCTCCCTGAGCGTGGACGAGGACTATGACCTGCGCCTTTCTGGCCTCTCTCTGCCCTCCTTCTGCGCAGTGCACCTTGAATGGATCCAGTACTGCGCTTCCCGGCGCAGCCAGGTGGGGCCACAACTGCCCTGGGGCTGCCCTACTCAGCGCTCTGGGTTCCTGGACTTAACCTACTTCTTTCCCTGTTTGGGTTCCCCTCACCCTGAGCTTCCCTTGGTCTGGGTCCCAGTCTCTACCCCAAGTTCCCTGTCCCAGGTCTAAGCTTGGGGGGGTCCTTGTGCCATAGCCCGTGGACCAGGATTGGAACTCACCGCTAGTCACCCTGTGTTTTGGTCTGTGTGTGCTGGGCCGCCGGGCCCTGGGGACAGCCTCCCACAGCATGTCTGCCAGGTGAGTGCTGCCGGCCCAGCTGGCCTGATGCTTCCCCCAACCCGCCCCCCAGTGAAGAGGCCCAGGTGTCTGTGGCAGTAGCCATCTTAGCTCTTCTCACCCGGCCAAGGCACTTCCTGGTTCAGGCCTTGCCTGCTCCTCACTGCTTTGTGAGGGATGTGGGCAGAGACTGGCTTCCTTATTGAGATGGGGAAACAGACCCAGCATGGGGAAGGGTCTCGGCACAGATCACTCTGAAACCTAAGGCCCTGGCTCTTTTACATCCCTCACTCACCTTCCTGTCCTTCTCCCTACCCAGCCTGGAGCCCTTCCTCTACGGCCTGCACGCCCTTTTCAAGGGGGACTTTCGCATCACCTCTCCACGTGATGAGTGGGTCTTTGCCGACATGGACCTGCTTCACCGCGTAGTAGCTCCCGGGGTTCGCATGGCCCTCAAGCTTCACCAGGTGGGGAGGAGTGTGCCCAGACAGTGTGAGAGGGTGTGGGATGCAGCCTCTCCCAAGGCAGGGGCTGCTAACCCTATCCTGTCTTCCCCGCCAGGACCACTTTACCTCCCCAGATGAGTACGAGGAGCCGGCGGCCCTGTATGATGCCATTGCGGCCAATGAGGAGCGGCTGGTCATCTCACACGAGGGTGACCCCGCCTGGCGTAGCGCCATCCTCAGCAACACACCCTCCCTGCTGGCGCTGCGCCACGTCATGGATGACGCCTCC